TTGTTTATCTGCTTACCACCAGTGATTTCCTTAAATAGCGTACATAACAAAGTTATTTTGGTTTATCTAATACTCTAAAATGATTGTGAGACGAAATACATAAACCAGAGTAGTAGGACGGAATCATTTAGATTAGCGGAGCACAAAAATTAGACTAGTTGACCGGTGATAAGTTAAGAAATCTAGAAAATAACTCAGCTGAATTAGTGGATTCCCTCATACACGCAACCATACTCTAAGGTGGGACAAGTTCACGGTCTTACAATCCAATATAACAAGTTGGAGGGGGAGGTTGAGAATGGAGGCTTTATTTATGGAATGAAGGAAGAATATGTGTAAAAGGAGTGATTAGTTGGAGGATTTCATCATGAGCTGACATCAATTAGAGAACCACTGAAAACCTGAAAGGAAAGATGTTTCCTCCTGGTTTATGACACCTTAACAGTACGCACTCGCCGCCGGGGTCGGAATCCAGGACCTTGTGGTTACAAGGCCAACTCTCTGACCATTAATTAACTGGGACCCGATCCAATGACCAGTCAGTCCATGAAATCTAACTTCTACCAATTCATGATATAGCATAACCACTTCGCAATGTCTTTTGCGATGAGCCACTGCCTCATGTTCAACCTGCTTCAGCCTACTGGTCACGGCTTCTCACTGGAATCCTAGGTTAACTGCCTGAATAGGGCCGGTTCCAAATTAGAATGAAACAGCCGCCCATTACTCCAAGGTTTTCCAACGGTTTTCTAACTGATGTCAGCACATGGTGAAACCCTCCACCCAATCAAACAAAAATCTCTACAAATCCACACTTTAAAGGAACTAAACTTCAAATCCTTTCACGGACATGTGAAAAATTCAACTACCCCAATGACAAATCAGAACAAGGGAAGGGAACTGAGAAAAATCAAGTTTATAAGTTGTGTAGTCATTCAAATGTTGGTTTGTAGGGATTTGATTTGTTTCAGGATTTCATCATGAGCTGACATTGGTTAGAGAACCATTGGAAAACCTGGGAGTACTGGACAGCTGTTTCGTCCTAGTTTAGGACTCTTCAGCAATACGCATCCACCGGGATTCGAACCCAGGACCTTCTGGTTACAAGGCGAGCTTGTATACCATTAAGCCACTGGGACCCGATCCAATGGTCCTTGGATTCTAACTTCTACCAATTCACGACATAGCGCGACCGCTAGCCAATGTCTTCGGCGAGTACTTGTCCTCACACCCGACCAGCTGCACCCTACTGGTCACGAATTCCCACTGGAACCCAGGTAACTACCTACCTGAATAGGGCCATTCGCCAGTGAGCATCTCATTGGTATTCAAGTGATGGTTTGTAGGGATTTGATTGGTTTCAGGATTTCATCATGAGCTGACATTAGTTAGTCATTATTGATTCTACAATTGTGAACAACAAAATGTGTTCAAAATATTTTCTAGTATTAATGATACTGTTTCATTGTTTTATATACATCCAATAAACGGATTAATATGGAGTTGTATACTAGCAAAATGCTTAAGTTTTATATAAGACTTGATAGTGTGAAATATTCCCGTATCATGAATTGAAAGTCACTCCGAACGAAGATACTCTCTTCAATAAATTTCCCCGTCTAGATTCTTTCAATTATAAAATATAACACTTACTGTCGATACAATACTGGCCAGTTATGCTGCGGATACGTTTTTAGGTAGACTAGCAAACTAGTTATGCGGTGTCAAAGTAAATAGTTGTATTTGTGTAACAAACGTGCTGTAGGCTGAAATCTATCACAAAATATTGTGAGGATGTGGTTCTTTAACTGATATCAATCCGTGATCAACTCGGAAAAACAAAACTAATCCTTACAAACCAAACGATAGAGAATTAATCTGACGCATGCCAGTCACTTGCTACAGGATGGAGTTTCCTGCAATTCGAGTGAGAAGTCGTGATCAATGAGGTCCATCCTGTCACATGCGTGAGGGTGGACGTCCCACCGACGATATTGGTTGGGGTCGCGCTAAATCACGAATCGGTAGAAGTTAGAATTCATGGCCTGGACACTGAATCAAGTCCCAGTGACTGAATGCTATACGAGACAGCTTGCCTTGTAACTGGAACATCCTGGGAACGAATCCTGGTGGTCGGTGTGTACTGACGACAATTCTCAAACTAGGATGAAACAGCAGCTGTCCAGTACTCCCTGTGGCTGGCTTTCAATTGTTCTCTAACTGATATCAATTCGTGATCAACTCGTAAAAATTATTGTAAAATTAGAAATAATTGTGGTGATTAGTCATAATAGATTCATACAGAATGGGGTAAGAAAATTGACAAGTTAGGTGAAGATTATAAAAGGTGTTAGGTGAGTGACTAGTACAAAGAAGTATGTAATAATGGGGAGGTAGTAAGACTGCATTGCGAAGTTCATCATGAAATAACCAGTATGTGAAATGAAATAGGTAGAGGCATCACACTAAGAGGAGTGATAATATCACCAATAATAAGTTTGGTTGGTATAAATGAAGATTCTGGTAGTATGGATAGCATGTTTGAATGACAAGTATAGATTATAACGAATAATAGCAATCATAATAATAAGCAAAGCAAAAGGAAAGAAACCCCAAGAGTGATGAAGGGAAGAGGCACTCTTGATAAGGAGGAGAAACCTTAACCCAAGTTTAGCCACAGTAAGAACAGTGTGTGAACTTGCTGTTTTTGAATACAAAGTTTCGGTTTAGTTACTCTTATTGCAACAGCTTCAGCTACGTGCAGGAGACGTAAGCAAACTGTTTTTTGATAACGATTTCGGAATTTGGTGCATAAACCTGAAGGCTATGTGCACTTCGATGCGATGTCCAAGTGTCTGTTTTTGTCAATTTTTCCTACCCCACATTCTACAAATCTATTATGACAACTAATCACCACCATGTCTCCCATTGCACAATATTTTGCAATTGAATTCAGCCGAGAGCATGTGTGTCACACAAATACGACTATTTATTTTGACTGTCCATAACTATTCTGTTATTCTGCGTTTAAGAATGTATCCACGGCGTAACTGGCCATTGTTGTAACGACAATAAGTATCATATATTTAGAAGACAATTGCAGCGAAGAAAATTTTCTTTTCGACGAAGTCATTTTCTAGGCTGTACATTCATGTATTTATATCAAATGGATGAGAAAGTACCAGAATAATTTCCGGCGAAGGGTCAAATTAATAAAAATTAAAATTAGGAATTAGAATGCCATAATAAACAGGGAGATGGATAAAACAAACAAAGTAGCATCATAATAACTAAGAAGATTGACATTGTGCAATTGGCGGTTAGAAATGTAGAAATAACAAAATAGACAGGATGTTTGGATAAAAAACTAATATGATGAATTATTGTTTATGCAATCAGGGATTAAGTATGTAGAAATAGTAAAATGACAAAATAAACTCGAAGTTAGGGTATGAAAATATGGGATTGAGAAAAACTTAAAATAACATGAATAAACAGGAAGTTTAGATAAGAAAGGCGTTGGGATTGTCATTACTAAAAAATTACCTGTTTATGATGGCCATGGCAGGGACAGGGGTCGAACGTATTTCATTTGGATAGATAGCGTAGGTTTGAGCTTTTGGGTGGCTAGGGCCTCTGATATACCCAGATGTCCTAAATTTGCTCCCTTTGATAGGTTTGATCGAATCTTGTATATTATTTTGAAGGATTTTTCGAAAGGCGCTGAATGTCCTGAATTGACCAGATGTTCTGTCACTGAACTGCATACACGCCTTTGGTCTCCTTTTACTAACCATGGTGGGTAGTGTTCACGAGGGCGTTTTTCAAGTCGGTGCATGGTACGGACAATGTACTCAGCTCTACAAGAGCAAGTAAACTGGTATATGCACGCTGAGGTAGCCAAATTCGACAGCTTGTCTCTCGCGTTCTGGCTGAACAGTTTCTTGCGGGAAAACGTCAGTTGTAGGCTCGCAGCGAAGTATGTTTCCTCAGTGATTTGAAGTGGCGTTTGCTGAGGATTTCTGCTTCAATATCACATTTGAATTCTAGATTAAGCAGAAGTATTTTCTTTGGAACGAATTGGACTTATTCGGAAGTCTTCCTAGATTTGAGATTCTTGTCTATGAACCTGGGCAGGAAACCGTTTTCCATCAGGGTATTTCGAAGATTACGGAGTTCTTCTTCAACCACTTCCTCACCGCACATCTTCCGAATCCTCGAGGAAATAGCGGATATCAGGTTCCTGTTTCTGCTTAGGGTCACGACGCTTTGAAAGTTGATGAATTGTCCATTTCATGTAGGCTTTTTGTATATAGACCTTTTCAGAGAGATGTTGGCGTTTCTTGTCAGATGGACGTCGATGAAGTGGAACATTCCGTCGGATTCAGCTTCAAGTGTAAAATCGATGTTTGGATGGGAGTTAGTGAAGATTTGAAGTAGGTTTTTAAATCACAATTCTTATCATAAATAATGAAAGTATCATCGATGTATCTCTTGTAGAGATGGAGGTCGTTGATAGTTGGTGATAAGGCGTTGTTCTCTAAGCTAGCCATAAAGCAGTCGGCTAGAAGGGGTCCTAAGGGAGAACCCATCGCTACTCCATCTACTTACCTGTATATTTCCTTGTTGAAACTAAAGTATACGTTGAAGATGCACCGAATTAACAGTTCTTTCAGGTAATGAATTGGTATACCGACATCGATGCTATGGGATTGAATGTAGCCACAAAGGAAACATACGGTTTCTGTCAATGGGACGTTGGTGAAGAGAGACACGACATCCAGGGAAACCATTTTCTTTTCTGCAACATTGACATTCTTAATTGAATCAGCAAAGTCGAATGGGTCACGGAGGTTGTATCTTGACAGTTAATTTTATAATTGATAAAAACCTAGAGAGGAAAATTTATTGAAAAGAATGTCTTCGTTCGGAGTGGCTGAATGCTAGCTAGAGTAATTCAACTCTCTGTTTAAACTTTCCCTTTTCTTTTAAAATTTTAGATCTCAACCACGTGTCTTAAACGCATCACTTTGTCCAACATTACCAATTTATCCAACTATACCTGTTGGTGGAGTTTGTATACCAGTCAACTTTACAAATCACAGTAGTTTTGAAAATTTTCAATTCAATGCGGACTCAGAATTTTCATTATCATTATATCAGATAATTATATGTGGTTCAATGACTTCAGGTAAAGTGAATTAATTCATATTTAAACAATTAGTCCATTTTATAAATTTGAATAAGACATTAGGAAGACAAATTTCGATAGATGATATCGTCATTTCGTAGTTTCTTTACAACCGCTTTACAACTAACATGGTTAACAATAATAAAATAAAGTTCATGAAAATTACTCAGTTAAATAAAAAACAAAAGTACATACTAATGACCAGTCATATTTAGATAGGTCATGTTGTCCAGGGTAGGCGAAGATTGAGGTCTATTGTTTTTTGTACACACAGTTTAGGCTGTATGTGATTAATCCAAAGTGCTTACATCACCTTGAATAACTTTGAATTGTACCAGTTTTGTTCCTATCCAGTATAAACGTTCCCTAGTGAAATGTTTGTTCTCAAAGGCCCGAAAAATATGCACGAGTGACACACTGATGGATGAGTTTCGACATATACATTCAGTTTTATTAGCTCATGGTTATCCAGAGAACTTCATCAGCTGTCACAGTAAAGAAAGACCACATCTCGAAAAGACAGCTTATGTACCAAAAAAGATATCTTGAATAACCTACCATTCAAGGGCGACCAGATTATGCAGTTGACAGCAAGCTCAAAGACTTCGGTCAGCCATCAAACGCACACTCTACGCCGCATCTCATTTTCTCATCTGCCGAACATTTTCGATCCTGTTCCTACGATTAAAGGACGAAATTCTGTGGACTCTACCTCAAACTGTATCTACAAGTTAACCTGCAGCTACGGTGACACTTATGTAGGTAGGACCAATAGAATCTTCCAATATCGTCTAAAAGAACATATTCCAAAAGGCTATTAAATCATGCAGAAAATCCCAACGCGATTAATTTTAATAGAAATCCAGGATCATTATCCATTGCAAAACACTTATAAATGTCTGGTCACAAAATCAATATAAATGACTGTTTCACAATTGTTTCACCACATAACTCTAATTCAAGGATGCTTATTGAAGGTGATGTAAGCACTTTGGATTAATCACTACTAATGTTCGAATGGGAATTATTCATGAATTAATCACATACAGCCTAAACTGTGTGTACAAAAAAACAAAAATCAATAGACTTCAATCTTCGCCTACCCTGGACAACATGACCTATCTAAATATGACTGGTCATTAGTATGTACTTTTGTTTTTTATTTAACTGAGTAATTTTCATGAACTTTATTTTATTATTGTTAACCATGTTAGTTGTAAAGCGGTTGTAAAGAAACTACGAAATGACGATATCATCTATCGAAATTTATCTTCTTAATGTCTTATTCCAATCGATATTTAAAAAATTTATTATTATTATTCTTACTCCTGTTCCGAGTGGAACATACAGATAGCTTCAACAACACATCTCATCTTTGTTCTGTTATCCACTATTCTTTTCAGCAGGGTCCTCGTTTGACTATAACCTCTAACCGTCTCCTCACCACACGATCTGCTCCATGTCACTCTCGCACAGACTATCCACTCGTCTCTTCCTACTGAGATTCCACTTGAATGATAACCTGCACTGCGCACGATTTCACTCGACCGCTTCCTGAACCTATGCCCTATCCATCTCCATATCCTTCCTCATATTTGTTAAGCAACCGACTCTTGGTTGGTTTATTGACGTCCAGAGTCTTTTGATGCTCATTCTTTCTGGCCGGTCGACCATTTGATTTTCAGAGTATGGAGGTGGCAAAGGCGGCTGTTGATAGTAGTCTGGAGCCGCCTGTTAGAAATTATTTTCGTGAGGTGTAATGCAAGTTTTGACTCATATAGAAGGTTTGACGGACTTCATATTTGTGTTGAAAATCCGAATCCATCTTGTTTTTTGCACGCTGACTAAGTGCAGAAGATTTTCAAATTGCTTTTAGGTTGATGAAGGCATATCTTGCCTTTCCGATTCTGGCTGGCTTGCTGGCTGGCTTTGACATTTGCATCCGTTCCACCTGTGGTTGAAACGACGCTTCTTAGATAAGTGAAGGAAGTAACCTCTAGTCAATCTATCCCGTTGATGTTGACTGGTGCTGTTGGTTATCTTCATTACCTCCGTCTTCTTTATGTTAGTCTAAAGTCGTGTCTTCACTGCCGGCCTCTTCAAGCACCTTGTTGCTTTTCGCCTGCAGCTATAAGTGTATCTAACTGGTTGAAAGGAATGCTGTTTCACAGTGCGTAACTTTATAAAATTTATCTACCTAGTTAGGTAGTCGCTTGCATTCCATTGACTGACAATAAAAATCACCAACTTTTAGTTTCTTTTTTATGATAGCAGTCACTAGCTCGTTGTCACTGTAGGCCTTTCCACATTCGATTAATTTGAGATGGAGAATCGAGCACCATTCAGTGGCCCCCATTCTATGATGATGTCTGTGATTGCAGTTTGGTTCACGTATAACATGTTTTTCACCAATCCGACTAGTTTTGGGCTACAGATTTACATCAACAGCCACATGCGCTCCATTCTGAAGATCAGATGTCCGAAAAGGATTAACCACAGGGAACTCTGTAGGTGCAACTAACCAACTGAAAATATATCGCCTGACAAATATGCAGAAAAAAGTGGAGATGGATCGAATAAATAAACTTAGAAGACCGTCAAGTGACATCACGCGCCACGCTCTTGTGTCGAATACAAACGGAAGACGAGGCTTGAACGGTGATCCGATGGTAATGTGAAGCAACTTATGTGAGGAAAAGGTGAAGGCATGCGGGTAATCGTGGAGCCGGTTGAAGATGGATAGAGAGATAAGAGTAAAATGGCGAAGTGCTGCTGAGTAGCAGTAAAGAATTACCTTTAAAATTCTCATAAAACAGTGAATATCAAATTTGTACAATATGCAATTTACATAGATCGAGGTGAAGTTTCACTCATTAAGCTTCCTTTGGAAAACAAAATAATTTGTAACATAATGTATGATCTGCTTAATAACATATGTGGCAGTCAAAAAAGCATTTATAAATGCAATGTATACTACTGACTGAAAGATGTGAGTAGTTGAACACCACTGACATCAAACAGTAGTGCTTGTCAGTCAAACTGAAGTGATCTAAGCAATGAAGGTCCATTTAACTCGTACACCCAAGTCGCTGGCCATAAATCAGGTAGTTTGAACTGATCTAGCCTAGCTGCACTGTGTACATCGATAGGAGTTAGGGAATCTGGTGTTTGAATCATTACGATGTGACTAGCAAGAACCGCAGGCTGGTTGGTGTCCAGCTACACACGTCTAGTTTTAGGCATAACCTTTATCTACAAGAAATGATCCGTTCACATGGTGTACATAAAATACCGAGCATTAAAATGGAAACGAAGTCTATTGTAATAGTACTTCGTTAGTCATGTCATATCTTGACAATTTCTAAGAAAATGTTCTGTCTAACCAACTGCATTAAGAAGTTAAGACAATCAGATAGGTATCTGTAAACTCCTACTTTGACAATTTGTTAACTCTTGTACCCTGTATATTGTACTTTAATGTTCACCTTTTGGTCTTTTCTGATCTGCTCATAAAGGATTATGTCATATTGAACAGGGTATTAAAGGTTGTCAGTAGGGTTAGTCGTATGCCACTTGGTCAGCTCGTTGCTACAGTAGTTTGTGAACACCTGAACTCATGTGAGAAATAGGGCAAACCTATATTGTCTGCCTCTGAACAGCCTCCTTCTCTATTTACAACTCTCCATGGCTCACATCTCATCAGATAGGACTAGAAGTCATTATAAATGATTATTATTATTTCCTTTAATTCCTAGAGGAATATAGGGCTTCAGCCGCGCGTCTCCATTGAGTTCGGTTCTCTGCTAAGGTTTTCGCCTGCCTCCAAGTCTGTCCACATGTTTTCATCTCCTCTTCACATGACCTCCTCCAAGTCACCCTCTCATTGATGGCCAAATCGCCGCTTTCCTTTCGGATTCCACTAGAGGGCTTATCTATTGCTGTCACTTGATGGTTTCCTCAGAGTATGACCAATCCATCACCATCTCTTCCTGCCTATTTGTTTCACAATCGGTTCCTGGTTGGTTTGCTCATTGCTATAGATCCCTGTTGTTGATCTTTTCTGGCCGGCCATCTGATCTTGAGTAGCATTGAGCGGAGACAGCTGTTGATGAAGGTCTGTAGTTTGTTTGAGATACACTTTATGAAGCTGCGAGTAAAGTGGCTGCTCACAGTCTGACAAAATTCCTTTAACAAATTTGTTGCATGAAATCAAGTGCCTATCATCTATTACAATGTCAACTATGTGGCCCAATGGGATACCACCACTCGCCCTACTGATTGACAGTCTTTAAAGCTCTACAAAGTATGGCATGATCTTTTTTAAGCAGTCCAAGTACATGCTCGTACAGCCAAGTACAGAAAGTCAACGGCACTCTATCTCTTGGGTGATAGAGATAAAGTTAAGCGAGGAACCTACAAATAACTATGCTATTAACAAAACAGTTGTGTCTTTTCTTCTCTCCTACTCGTAATCTATGATGATACTATTTCAATTAACTTATAATACTAGCTATTAGTATTATTATTGTAGACGGAATTGTAGAAATTGCAAATTAAAGAAGAATATAAAATAAATAGGCAAGAGTTTAAGGTATCTATAATTTTACGATATGAGAAAAGGACCTCTGGAACCTTGTATCAGATTCTTTGTAATACAAGGGTCAAAGTGGCATTTGAACCCTATTAACTCATCCAGAGACAAGTTTTGTAGGCTAGAGGACCCAATTAGACAGAATGATCTATAAAATAACTTGCAATAACTATGAGGTCAAATACTAGTAGATTGAAGGTAGTTAGGTTATCGAAACATAAAAATGACTGACACCATGAAGATGAATATTTTAGAGAAAAACTCAGAAATTGCATTGCATGCACGAACCCACAATTAGATGACGGAATGAGTCGGAGCAATAGTTCTGAATAGTGATATAAGTAGGTGGAGGGAGAGTGGCTGGTCACATTAAATGTTTTTTCATCGAATCTACACCTAACATGTGCAATGGGTATGATGTGACGTCAATACTCGAGATATGGAAAATATTACTGTCAGTAAAACCAGAGGATAAAAACTGATCGAATTATGTAAACTAAGTTTGAAGGTTATGTAACCACCTTGATGTGATTATTAGCAGCAATATATATATATATATATATATATATATATATATATATAGCGATGCCCCCGCAGCTCCATCTTAGAACATCTGATAGAGTCCGGACACCGAGCTACATCGCAAACAAACTTCAAAGTCGTCTACAGAGCAAGAAGTAGTCTTCCTAAAGATGTACGAATGAGACTTCTTCAAACTGCAGAAGCAATGATGATTCACTTGCTAAGTCCTGAACTCTGCATACGGAAGAAGTTCGTTCAATCACTACACTTGCAATCGACTTAATCTGTCTTATTACCCGACAGGTAAATTCTACCTAATCTTTTTTCTCTTCTGTCCCTTCATTAGTATTATCTTGTCTTCTCAATTGTAATATTTTACATTTCCAGCCCTCTTGTTCTCTACCCCCACCCGATTTAGTTTCTTAACCTAACTACCACTGTTACTGACTTGACCAACGCTCAATTCCTAGTCATTTGTGTCATGTCATCCAACTTATTTGCTCAATTTCAGTTCTAGTTGAAATGGCATTATTCTCTACCCCACTTCTACTTAGTCTCTCCTCTCTACCTGTAATTACCTCTGTTGCTACCCTGACCTAAGTTGAAACATTTTAGTCAATTATATTACGTCATCTAACTTAGTAACTCAATCTTTTTTTAGTTGCTGTCCAATTAACCTTGTTTCTATATTAGATGATTCTTGTATTACCTGATCAATTATCTAAACTTGACAAACCTCATGCACACACACAGAAAAATAATTATACAGCTATGAGAGTGAATTCGCTGTCGAAAAGAGTTTCTTCGCTGAACGTCTTCTATTTTTCATAATACAGATGAACAAAACATAACGACATAGTGGTACAGACCGTTAGCAGAATAAATGGATATGTGAGGAAATAAGTCTTCGATAGGTTGTGAAACAAGTTGAGCAGTATCAGTTTGAAAATTATTCGTAGCTCACCGGGGTTATCTGCGGATTTATCGTGGATGAAGTTCGCGGTTGGGCTCACTAGTTTACAGGTTGACGGAATCCCTTATACAGCAACTTCTAACTTATTAATTCTCGCGTACCAAAAACAAAGCAAAAGCCAATATTTGATCGTCCAAACTACGTGATATATTTCGGGACCACAATAAGCCGTCAGACGAACGCTTAGCTGGCTAGTGATCGTGCCGCACGTGACACGACAGGATACCAAATGGCGGGGATGCTTGACCGGAAGCCTTCAGCTAAACAAGTCGACTTAAACAGTGGTGGTCAGCATCCAATGATGAGTGATTGCTGTGGTCAATAATTTTGGGGAATGATTTACCGCTACAGAAGTAACACAAAATAATGAAGGTGACAAGAAGAAATCAATGACTGCAAAGGAAAGGATTACTGCAGGGAAGGTCCAACCATCACATCACATAAAGCGGTTTCTACCATAAAAGTTTCAAGTAATTATCTTTGCTTTCTTTCTTTCTGTGCGTAATGATCTAATTTCAGAACCAAAGTGGCTAAGCTTCTTCTATAAATTTCCAAGTGTTAGTTTGTAAGGATATGATTAGTTTCAAGTTTAACCAAGAGTTGATATCAGAAACTCTGAGAACTTAGAAGTACTCAACAGCTCTTTCCCCCAGTTTGATGCCTACTACTGAAGAGTCACACACTAGGACGAAACAACGGTCTACAAATTTAAGGATTCTCACGGTTCGTTTCTGCTATTTGTTAATGTTCATACTAGCTAGACATTGAAAGCCTCTTCATGAAACTCACAGGTGTATAGTTTCTTGTATGTCTCTAACTACTTGAGTAAATGCTCAGCCAAACAAGTTCACAGTTCATTTTTAAGAATTGAACATGTAACGATACAGTTTAACCTTGCAATTTCTTTTGATTTAAAAGTTGTATTTCATGTTTATATGCATTCTTTATATATGTATATCGTTTTAAATTTATTTACTCATTTATTTTGTTTAAATTAGTTCTCAGTCTATTGATTATTGGAGTTGTACGTTTCGTGCCAGCTGGATTTTCTACTTTTATATTTGGGTATACAGTATCTGCTTATTCATGTAAGTTTTACTACTACCTTTTAAACAAATTATTATTCGTTTGGGTTCAGAATGCATCATGCGCCTTCAGCAGCACATCAATACTTCAGCGGTAGAGTGCTCGCCGACCACGCAGGTAATCTGAGGTTCGATACCTGGCCACCGAAACATTCCGTCCCCTTGTTAAGCCAGTAGTAAGACTGTTAAAGGGGAAGGTTGGGGTACATGAAGTTAGCAATCCAATCCTGTAAAAAAAATAATCGTCACTGCTACCGAAACTTCAAGCTTCTAGCTTGAAACCACCCTATGTTCCACTTGGAACCTAAAGGACGAAGAAACAAACAAACTCACACGTTCTCCTCCATGTTACACTCCGATCTACATCCAACTTGTCATTTTCCATTCAGTTACCACTCCATCGCTAGCCCAGCGTGTGGTGTCGCCTTACTGTCGCCTCCCAGTATGTCTAATCCTCCTCTGCATATTTGTTTGAAGATGGGTGGTTGGTTGGTTGATTCGTTGCATCAGTAGAGTTCTTTGTTACTCATTCATTCTGTCCATTTGATCTTCAGAGAAGTTGTCAAGCAAAAATACCGGAAACGACTACCTGAAGTTTGAGTTTAGTGTTCAGCTCACCCTGTAGAATTAATTCTGCATTAAATAATATTTGGTGAAATTTGTTTCTATTTCCAACTTTTCCATGATGATTCTAGTGGAACAAAAGGATTAGTTTCCATGGCGGTTTTTGTGACTCATTTGTCTAATATATAATAGTTATTCAGCGGTTGAAATTGTACAGTATCAATGAGCCCTAGTGGGAAGGCTTACATTCTTTGAAATGTGACTATAATCACTTAAGGAACTATAAACAAAACATCAGTGTTAGATATTGAAGAGCATATTAGAATGCGATTATTTTGCCTAACACTAAATTGAAATAGGAAGTGCATAGATCGTTGGAAGTAAAGCATAACTGAAACACATCAGCATCTTTTTCTGCATCTATCTGACTACTCAAGGCACAAGAGGTGGCTGTTTTCGTCTAAGTGGTCTAATGGTTAGTGCTTAGCCATTTGAAAAAGGTGAGTATTGACCTTATGTCTCAGTGAGAACAGTATTCCTCACTGAAGATTGTGCGTACGTTCAACTGACGAGCCCTGAATAGGACGAATTCAACCGATAGTTGTTACCACCCATCAAATATACCTCTTTTTTGTGATGATATAATTTTCATAGTTGTATTTGGAGTTCTAGTGAGAACTCGTGACCAGTAGTATCCACCTGACTGAAACGGACGAAAAACACTCGTCGATGACTTTGGCTGGTGATGGCGATAAAAAAAATGTTGATAGAAGTTAGAATTCATGTGCTGGCGGTTGACTCATCTCCCAGTGGCTCAATGTTCTGTGAACTCGCCTGGTAACCAGAACATCCTGGGTTTGAACTCCGATGGTAGCGTTTTTGGTGAAGATTCTTAAAGTGGGATGTAGGAAACAGCTGTCCAGTACTCCAGTACTAGTTTTCAATGGTTCTCTAACCAATATCGCTCCGAGGGCGAAATTAAAAGTTACTCAAAATGTTGGGCTGAAATGATAATAATAGAGAAAATACATAAATTATTGGTCAATTAGGAAGATGTAAGCAGCTGGAAGTCAAAGCAAAGTAAATTAGCTGCATCACTAAACGAATGAATGGAAGATTAGGTATATTTAGAAGAGGTTTACTAGTTGGGGCATACTCTTCTTGGCCAGTAAGTATTAATTTTGAATCCCGCACTGTCTTCTCCTCATTCTGGGATAATGGGTGGTATCATTAACCATCACAGGATAAGCATGGCTCATATTCTGTCAAAGAAAATATTTTTTCCATTTAGAGATACCTGATGGTAGTCAGTTACATAATGACCGAAAGGCGTATCAATAACTCTACTTTCATTTTCTCTTAGCTACATGGTTATATATATATAGTTTATGCGGTTCCACATGGAGACTTACTATCACTGGTCATATTCCTGATTTTGGTGGACTAGATCATGTGGCGAACCGTAAGAAGCGAGAGAATGGAAATACATTAAATGGACAAATTTTATTTATTTATTTAAACGCAGAAAAATCTTGGTACAATATGGCACCAAGAAAGATGCGCCACACAATAATAGTAAAACAACATAGATCAAAAGTAACAAAATATAAGTAGAGAACAGATAAAGAACTTCATCTGGAAGGAAAACAGTCATGCTTAACAAGTTAAAACAGTATTCGTTAACTATCATCGGGAAGGGAAGAAAGAAGGAAATTGCAACACGTTCGCTATTGATTACGATTCTTGGCCATATCCGATAACGTTTCGAGCCATCGATTCGAGCTATCTCTCGGACCCCAACCAGGAAGTCGTGACACCCTAACCGATGCTAATCTAGCACAGACATGCTTCGTCCCACGACGCCATGTCATGGACTGATCACCTCTCCACCTTTTTCGTCCCGTCCCGAACCACAGAATTACTCACGCGATGATGCCATCGAACGCGAGGAATCCTGCGGAGACAGCAATGATCGAACACGCAGAGTCGCCGAACATCCTCAGCTAGGAGCGGCCAGGTTTCACAGGCATAGAGCAGGGCAGCCCGCACTGAAGCATTTTATACCCGACTTTTGACAGCCAGGCTAACGTTGCGACGGCACCAGAGGTGGCTGAAGTTGATGTATGCCACCCTAGCCTTCATTATACGGTTGGAAGTGTCATCCGTCACCCCTCAGCCAGCACACACACACAACTACCCATATACACAAACTTATCAACAACTTCAAGCGGTTCACCCACAAGAGTGAATGCAGGTACAGGCTCCTGTCAATCTTGTAACAGCACTTTGCACTCAGACGGCGCAAAGTGCATACCATACTTACAGACACTGATCACTAAATGATTAAGTGCGATTTGGGCAGCATGCATGCTATCGCACAGTAAGACGTTATCGTCTGCATACTCCAGGTCGAAAAGTCTATCTCCAGGTAGCAGATCTACAGCACCTTCACGTACATCTTTCAGAGCTGACTCCAGAATGTCATCGATGGCAAAGTTAAAGAGAAAAGGAGAGATTAGGCAACCCTGTCTAACCCCACTGTTTTAAATGGACAAGAAGATTCAAGAAGCCCTGGACTTCGCAGACAGTTTGTGTCTCGTGTCACACACACACACACACACTCGAAGATTTACAGAGAAAAACCAACAGGCTGGAAGAAGAGGCAGGCAGAAAAGCATCCATTACCATCAAATGGAAAAATCTTAAGGAAATCGCCTCATTCACTTATTTAGGCGGCAACATGAGGATGAGGATGTCAAGGACAAGATAGGAAATGCAAGACGGACTTTTACTAATCTGAGACCAGTGTGAAAATATTCTAAACCTAGCATAAAAACAAGATTCGAATTTTCAGTGCAGAAGGAAGTGGACATGGATCGGACACATACTAAGGAGACTGTTCAAGTGAAGGATCACATACATGCAGGGCAGACAGTCAAGTAGAAACCTGGTGGCAAACAAAAACTTAGGCGACCAAGATGGCCATATAGTATATTGTATGAGGATAAGTTGGGCAATCCAGGGGTGGAAGCTAAAAACGACTGTACAGAATAAACTGAAATGATAACGCAATGCTGAAATCCCGTATTCCAAAGAAATAATAATATGTGTGAATGGGATAAATCAAATTATTATTAAACAATGTATTCCATATTAGTTTGTTTATTAGATATATCACACAGTGATGAAACAGTATTATTTAATGGATGACAAGGTTTCGAACAAAATTTATCGTTCATAATCATATCACCAATTGTAATCACACGACTTTGAAACTTGAGTTTTATAGTTTTCTTTGTCCTCTCCTATTTGTCGTCGTCCGAGTAGTAGAATTTTCCAGATATCTGCCTGGACAGGTGTTGAATCATTCCTATTACATGTATTCTCTTCAGCTGATTCGATAAACTAAGCTTCTGTTATCAATCTCTCCCTATACCCTGTTACCTTAGATTTTAAAACTGTCATATTATCCCATTCATCGTATTGTGTGGTTGTGTGTGATTGCATGTAGTGCTATAGCTGAACTATTCTCTAGATTTCCTATCTTATTTGGGTCAGCTAATCTAGATTTTGTTAAGTTTTTACTTTCGGCTACTCTGACTGCCCCTGTTCTACTAGTTTAACCTATGTATTTGACCTGACATTCATTACAGTCAGGGTATTAGATAAACTAAATTGTTTTGTTTTAAAGGCTCCACAGGACTGATCCTTTAACCGACAAAGCTTGTTTCTAATTGAGTTTGTGGGTGGTATGAATACCAGCCACTTTTATTCCTGCCTTGTTAAGAGCTCTGTGTAAGGTGGCTTCTGAGGTTCCTTCCTTGTATGGCAGGAATTACTACTGATGATTTAGATTCCTTATTGTTGGTGTTGTCATAATAACCTAGCGAAATCTAGATAGTTCAACTGAAGCACTACATGCAATCACACACAACCACACAATACGATGAATGGGATAATATGACAGTTTTAAAATCTAAGGTAACAGGGTATAGGGAGAGATTGATAACAGAAGCTTAGTTTATCGAATCAGCTGAAGAGAATACATGTAATAGGAATGATTCAACACCTGTCCAGGCAGATATCTGGAAAATTCTACTACTCGGACGACGACAAATAGGAGAGGACAAAGAAAACTATAAAACTCAAGTTTCAAAGTCGTGTGATTACAATTGGTGATATGATTATGAACGATAAATTTTGTTCGGAACCTTGTCATCCAGTAAATAATACTGTTTCATCACTGTGTGATATATCTAATAAACAAGCTAATATGGAATTGCTTACTACCACAGTGCCCAAGTTTTACACATATATTGAACAAAGTATTAATTTTCTATTCATGTCAAAACGTAAATATCTATTATCTAGAAAAAGAAAATTGTTTCAGTTTAAGCTTATACATAAATTAAAAGTTTCTACTTTACTGATTCCATCCA